CAATCACTCGCGCGGCCGCGTTCTGCACTAACTGAAGTCGCCGGATGCTCTTCAAGGGCAGCCCCATGTAGAGCACATTGCAGATTTAATCTTCAGATGTTTTGAATGGCCACAAGGTCTAGATTTATGCAGTTAATGGATCAATCTACTCTTTGCAATGCCCGATGCAGGTAGCGTCAGGGCTTGGACTAATGAACTCAAGCAAGTCAGAACTCCGAGATGTGGCACTAATAGTGGGGGAGGGGGAATCTCATATTGAACTATGCGGGTTTTGCGCAGGAATTAGGTAGTGCTGGTTTTGCCTTCAACAGTGCCGAAATGGTGTACTCAATAAATTTTTGCACTGAGACATTGACAGGTCTGGAGTGTGCTTGCTTTGGTTGGGATCGTTGGAGATATAGAATATAGAACAGAAGGGACCTTGGAGGTCTTCTAGTCCAACCCCCTGCTGATTATCAACATTTCTCTCGTTTTCTCTCTCTTAACCATTCTAGGTTAATTTCAGCAAGACCTGCGTATTTTGGGTGGAAGGAACAGGTAAGGTCAAAATGTTTTTGTCTACTTTTCCTGCCTCCTTTCCTCTTTTATAGTGACCCCGTTCCATCTCTCCTATCCAGAGGTGGGTTCCTATCTATTCGGTCTGGTTCAGCTGCATAGGTAGTAACTCTGGTGGACCGGTCCTATGATTGGCGGTGCCATCTTGATTTTCTTTTCTGCACATGCTCAGAACAATCTTCATTGAAAAAATGTTACCCCCCCCTTTTTTTTAAATGCCATTTCCCATGTGAATGTTCTCTTTTTAATGCAATGCTGATTTCAGTGCTTGGGCTTAATATTATGGGATGTTACTGTCCATGTCTCTGATGTAACTGTAGCTGAGAAGGATGATTTCTTCCGTGCTTTAAAAACAGTCTGATTTAAAAAAATTTTAAAAATATCTTTTCTATATTTTGTAAAAAAAATTGTTCACTTAAAATGTTCTGCGCTTGCGCACAACATTTTAAGTGAAAATGTGCATGTGTGCAGAGTGCACAATTTTTTTTACTAGTAGCAATGGCCGCTGGAATCCACCCCTGCTCCTATCCCTCCTTCTATGGTTACTCGCCCACCTGGAAGTACGCCTTGGGCCTTCTGTGTGAGCAGGGGATTCGACTGGAAACCTTCCAGAGTCCAGTCCCACTTTATGACTCTGTAATTCTGTAACTTGGAATGCATAGTTGGTTAACATCTTTCTGATGAAGAATTAACATGAAGGAGCCTGATCACACCTTTTCCAACTAATATGTTTTCTTAAAAAGCATTGGCTTTTTATGAGGTGTAGCTTACTTTTGACAGATGTATGGGATGAGTTTTAGGAGTGGTGCGGTGGCTTAGAGGTGGGGCTCTCGCCTCACAGTCAGGAGGCTGTGACTTCAATCCTAGGTAGAGGCACAGTGAGAATGTATCAGCTGAACAAAACTCCGCATTGGCAACAGGGAAGGGCATCTGGCCATTAAAACACTCTGCTAGCTCCATTCAGTTGCCCAAACTCCACCCTGCAAGGGATTATGTGGTGGTTAAAAGAAGGTGATGATGGGATGAGTTTTTATAATGAGGTAAGCTACAACTTGCGAACGCTTAGATCCCTTTTGATATGCATACATTGTTAGAAAAAGTGTGTGCAGATACCTCCCGATTTTAGGCTACCGTAGACTAACATGGGGCTCCCACACTGCCATGTCAGATTAATAGGTGTATCTCTGTATCTGGGAAAGGTGGAAGAATACACACAGATCTCTTTCAACTAGGCAGGTATTTAGTTCTATCTGATGTTTGCTGATCCTTGTAATGTTATTGTTATGCTGCTGGTTTTCAATACTTTTGCATTGCATCTTTTATTTAGATACATACATACATATATACATACAGTACATACAGTACATACATGTACACACACACACGTATGTATATATGTATATATATATATATATATGTATATATGTATATGTATATCTATGTGTATATGTATATGTATATCTATGTGTATATGTATATGTATATGTATATGTATATGTATGTATGTATGTATGTATGTATGTATGTGTGTGTGTATATATATATATATATATATATAGGTCTCTAGTTGTTCGGGTTTTCTCCCACGTAGAATTGGAGACGTCTTGGCGACGTTTCGACAAAGTCGTGATGACGAATGAGCCTTCGTCGAAACGTCGCCAAGACGTCTCCAATTCTACGTGGGAGAAAACCCGAACAACTAGAGACATATATACATATATATATACACATATATATATATATATACACACACATACACATACATACATATATATATACACATATATATATATATATA